AGAGGCGACCTTGTGGCTGCCTATAAGTTCATCACGGGGGCACAGAAGGGAATTGGTGAGTATTTATTCACCAAGGCGCCCCCGGGGGCTACAAGAAATAATGGCCACAAGCTAGCAGAGAGCAGATTTAGATTGGACATTAGGAAGAACTTCTTCACAGTTCGAGTGGCCAGGGTCTGGAACGGGCTCCCAAGGGAGGTGGTGCTCTCCCCTACCCTGGGGGTCTTCAAGAGGAGGTTAGATGAGTATCTAGCTGGGGTCATCTAGACCCAGCGCTCTTTCCTGCTTATGCAGGGGGTCGGACTCGATGATGTATTGAGGTCCCTTCCGACCCTAACATCTATGAATCTATGAAAATGTCTAGTAAGAATACCAGAAGGCTGTTTCAGATGAGAGGCACTGAAGCAATAGCTTGTACCAGCAGCACAATAAGAGATAGAGGGTAACAATGTGATGCAGTTTTCACCACTAAAACTCTTACATTTTGTGCTTTGGAAGGCTAACCATATTCTGGTAGCTTTTATTTAAATGTTCTGTCATCTCTCCGATAGTATATTGAAATTGGGAAAATTGAAAGGGTCAGTGCTAGCACCAATACTTTTCAATGTATATACCTAAGATTTCCTGCATACATCTAAGCAATATGTGTACACTGACGATGTTGCCATAGTAGCCCAAGGAACAGACATGACAGAACTGGAAAAGACACTGAGTACTGATACAGAACTCATTGCTGTCTCCACAAGTGGTGCTTAAAGTTGAGCATCAATAAATTAGAATCATCACAATTTCACCTGGACAACTGTCTACCCAAGAGCACATTGAATATAAGAGTAGGCAACCACATCCTTGCTCATGAGCATACCCCAACCTATATTAGATTGTTTCCTCACCTATAAACATCACATCCAGAAGCTCAGCAGTAAAGTCTCTGCACAGTTAGCTGTCTTAAGATGTTTAGCCAGCATGACACGGGGGGCCAACTTCAGTGTGCTCAGAACCACTGCACTTGCAATGGTATATGCCCCAGCA